ATTCCGTTCTCGACCTCTTCAGCGAGGAATGTCTAAGTCCGGCGAGGGATCAGATTTCAGTAGTCCAGTCAGTTTAAATAGCATAATCGAGTTATGCGGGCAAAGTGACGGGGCTTGTACGTCTCGTCTGCCTGCAAATTAAATCGTTCTTTTCTTTTACATAATTACCTCTTAACTTTGCTCTTCTGGCGGTCCACCGTATGTGAATTAACCCGACTCGACTCCACTTGATCTAATTATTCCATCCGCAGTCGAGCTCTAAGCTAAAGGCTAAATAACGCGTCTTTAATCTCGTCGTGCAGAGACATTAGCAGAGCTTTCCCTGAGCGCACAACTATACGACAACCCTTTACGAAGGGGTATCATTTTCCCGCTTGCGATTTTACGAAATTCGATCGATTTCACTAAAACTTTTACGATCATAAATTTATGTTGGGGACCCACAAAAGTAATTTGGGTCTCAGTAATTACTCAAATTCAGACAACATTTTAAATATAAAGTTCATACTTGCAGTGATTTTGAGTTAATTTATTCCTGTAACTACTAACATTGTTTATGCAACAGATTAAGCCTCGACGCGTATGTTCTAAGAATGATGTGACAATCATTCATGATCTATTATCTAACCTTGGGGACGTTGCATGTACTCGGAAGAGGGTCAATTTTAAGGACTTTTTTAAGTGTCGTTATCGTTTATACGAGAGTATCCAATTACCGAAATAGATTTGAAAGTTACTTCTCAATACACGAGCTGCTGGTTGGCGAATCTATCCTATCATATATCAGTGATTGATAGATGGCGATCATACGGGAAGACTAATTTAAATTCGAAAATCAGAAATGACTGAAAGAGTATGCGACATGATGGCGACGTTTCAGTGAAAATGATGGAAGAGCTTGGGTACATAAGCAGAGAGGTGAGTCGGATCATTCCTCACGAGGTGTTGCACAAACCAAAATCTGTTCTAAATTTGTTCCATACTGACGAGTGAACAAAAATCATTGAAAGTTCGTCATTCCAGAGACGTTGGTGCACCCACCAAAATTTCTGAAATCGTTTATTACATGAAATATGGTGCTGTCACAGTCACTATGATCTAGAAACCAAGCGGAATGAAGAAAACACGCAAAGTGCCTTCAAAAATCAAGATAATGCTCATAACATTCGTCGACAGCAAAGGAATTATCCATAAAAGATTCGTCCCACCTGGTCAAACTATATTATGTGATTTGTTTCTATTTCAAAAATTGAAATTAAAGATTAAAGTGTGCGTTTTCCAAGACATTACGATGATCCAAACAGCATCAACATGGTGACTAGAGGCAATACCACAAAATGAGCGCTATTATGTATTTGCATAACTTTTGAGTCGCTGCAACAAGTGTATTGTAGCAATAGGAGATTATTTTCCGCCCTCAAAATGTTTTTCATAGGTAAATGCTGACAGTATTGCGCCCAAAGATAAAATTGCTGCACCTCTTAAGGAAAGTGACATTAAAATTAATCGAAATCGATTTTTCGTTAGCACAATTCTACTTCAGTTGCAATTCCACTTCCATCAAATTCCCACAATTTTACTTCAATTCTGTTTCCCCTTCGCCTCCCAAAATATTCTTCCTATTTTAGTGAATTGGATAACCATCGTGGGAAAAACACGTTGCTAGAATTGATGCGTTTCTCTGAATTTGAAGGGACGCTTATAGCTCTAAATTCTGACTAAGAGGCTTGAAAGTCCCAAAGAATCCAAAGAAAGACACAAAGGTTCGATAGACTCTGATGTATTCTAGAGATTTTAGCTAAAAGGAGATAAACTAGAGATCGCACATCCAATTTGTAATTAGTAATATTTTGGGTCCTCCAAACTTTATTAGTTTACCGTAATAAGCATTTTGCGGATTCTAAGAATTTTGAATTCAAGTTTTAAAAATATTCCAAAAATTCGGTAATAATGCGGTGAATAAACACTTATTAATTTTATTTGGTTTCACAAATCAAAACACAAGAACATCAAATAGAGTTCGGGTTTGTGCCTTCTCTATTTTTACCTTTGTACCACTTTCCTCCTTATGGGTTATTTCCATTCCTGCCATTACTATTTCCATTGCTGCCGTTGCTATTTCCGTTGCTATTTCCATTGCTACCGTTGCTATTTCCATTGCTACCGTTGCTATTTCCATTGCTACCGTTGCTATTTCCATTACTACCGTTGCTATTTCCATTGCTACCGTTGCTGTTTCCTTTGCTTCCGTTTCCACCTGCGCTTTTACCGTCGCTTTCAGCTTCTTGGGCAGACACCTGCGGCCAAAACTGGTCCATAAAACGTTAAAATGCGAAACTTACCTCGCAAATGAAGAAGAATGTTAGAAGAAGAGCGAACGCGTAGAACTTCATATTGAATGATTCTGCAGCTTACCTGAACACTGGTGCTTATATACCTGGCACATTTCACATAAAAACTAGGCAATAACAATTGCATTACGTAACACCAATTATTTATCGATCTGTGCCAAATTATTGATACTGAGTAATTCACTTTTCTTAATGTTACATCACGAAATTGGAGAATTTCTGTGAAAAGCTGGCTTGTGAATTACCTACAATCCAATTTTTTATAAATTTTCACTGTATAAGATTCTACGTCAACAGCTAAGGCATCTTGTTAAAACTATAATGTATTATATTATTATGTTTGTTCCCATGGTTTTAGTAATTAATTAAATGCAATATGTAACTTCAACGTTTAAACGATATAACACATTTTTGTCAAGCCAGAAGATGACTTTACGGAGTCGAAACTAGTCGCTTAATCAAATTTTAAATACTCTTGGGCCACATAAAAAAACATCTTAAAGTTTTTACAGGTTTCAGAAATCGCATTCTACTTCAAAAGAAAGACAATACAATAATAGTTATTTACATAAAAGTCCGGAAAATGACAATAATTACTGGCGAGGAAATATTGAAGTGCGAGGCCCCTTTGGGGCCTAGTACTTTAATTTCCGAGTCAGGTAATGTCATTTTACTGACGAGTTTTGTATTAAATTTACCCGAAATCGCATTTTAATATAGAATTTCAATTTTTATATAGAAACTTTGATTAATGCCAATCTGTCAGTGATGACAGGAGTCATTATAGACATTTGGTAATGTCACAGATGCGGTCGATAAAGTGGGGGTGCGGCTAGTAAAGTGACAAGCGGCAAAAATGTAGTCTGCTCTGCTTCTGTCATGGAAACTAAAATTTCATGACAGAAAGTAGGCATGAAAATGAAGGTTTCGGACGATTTTGGGTAAACCCTTTTGTAACATATTTTCCAATAACATGAGATACACTATTGTGGCCATTTTCCTTGTTTACTCGTTTGTCGTTAACTATTAAGAACTTTATCAGATGTTTTGGGGTCATCTCGAGTCTTGACTCTCTAAAAGCGTTCAAGAGCGTTCATCTTAATGGTCGCCAAGTATCTATAAAAGCCTTCTCTGTCCAAAAGCCTCCTATTGAAAATGCTTGGGGTTTGTCTCTTTTAGAGACTAAAAGATTTGATATCAAACCGTTTAATAATTTTTAATATGACATTGGTCTTTAAATGTTCTCTTCATGAGTTTCAAATAATCTGAACAAGCCTTTGGAGCATGTGATAGGCGATTAAGAGATTTTTTTCACTACTAGCGTCTGATGACATGATTATTAACCTTTTTTCCACTTGTAAAGTAGGCTTTCTCGGCATTTGTTCAAAGTGGTTAATAATGTGGACATTATTAACTAGTAGTCAATAATGAGAACTGTCACGCTGTCACTTTTAGAAAACACAACCCGAAATTTCGCTCAATGAACGTTTAGACAAGTTCTCTAAAACGAATAATTGCCACCATACGCAATTTCCAGAGAAATTACATACCTAAAATTATCACATTTTGAAAAAATTCGAACGAAATTACTCTTTGCAAATATCGCAATGACAGAACAAAATACGGCCTGTTTGACTTGTACTTCCACGTACTTGATTGACATGTTAAATTAAGAAACAAACAATTCTGTCCAACCGTTAACTCTCTTATCAATATAATATGTTAATTTAGAGGATTTCAAGTGCTAGTAGTGAAAAAAATAGTATATATACCACGGTAGAGAAGTCTATTATTGCCTTCGCACCTTACACCCCTCGGCGCAAGCGCCTCGAGATGTAATCTTGGTGCTCAGGCAATAATAGTGGACTTCTCTACCTTGATATATAATGTACTATTAATACTCTCAAATAGTCACTACGATTTTTAAATACGTTTGATACCATTAAGGAGGTTTAATGGGTCCTTAAGGGTCTCCAAGAGATTTTAAGAGCCATTTAAGAGTTGTTCAGTGTTGTCTTGAAGTTTTGAATAGCTTTCAAAATCGTTCAGTCTTCATATTGCATTAGTCTTTACGAAACGTTTAGTGTTTATCAGACTTTAACGGTTTTGTGGCAATTTTTGTAAGGTCATAACACGAATACCGCATTATGGATGTTCCAATAAGGAGGAAGAACGATGATTTCTTTGAAATTTATCGAGCCATTCATTAGAGCTTTTAATATGCTTTAAAAGTCTTTCCCAATGGTTTTATTATCTAGTTTGCACAACCTCTTAATAATTTTTAGAGCACATGCCTTTAAGAGATTTTAATAATCTTAAATGGTGGTTAAGAATTTTTAAAAACTTCATTAATTATCCGAGTCTTTGAAGGCTTTCAAAAGTCTCCAAGAGACTCATAAAACACTGCTCGTCTTTAAGAACGCTTAAGGCCATTGATAGTCTGCAAAACCGTCCAGAGTCTTCTCAGTGCTTAAGAGTCTTTACAAAGCTTGCGGTGTTTAAACGCTTTTTGGCTATTTATATGAGTGCATAACACGAATATCGAATATTATGGATGTTCCAAAGAGACCAAAATCATTTTAAGGATTTCAGGTTCAGGTTTTATAAGGATTGCAAACATTATAAAGATTCTAATAATTGTGAAAGTTCTAAAGAGCAGATCAATTTTATTTCACTTCAAAAATTAAACCAGAAGAACATTAAACTGAGTTCGGATTTGTGCCTGTGCCCCCATTTCCACCTTGCGCGTTGTTTCCATTGCTATTTCCATTGCTATTTCCGTTGCTGCCGTTGCTATTTCCGTTGCTACCGCTTCCGCTGGTGCATTTGCCGCGACTTTCGGCTTCTTGGGTAGATACCTGGGGGCAAAACGATTGGTTCATTAAAACGGTAGAGTGCGAAACTTACCTCGCAGATAAAGAAGAGGGCAAGAACAAGAGCGAATGCGTAGAACTTCATATTGGATAATTCTGCAGCTTTCTGGGACACTGTGGCTTATATACCAGATAGATGTCGCATAAAAACTAGGAAATTATATTCGGTTACGAAACACCGAAATGTGCCAAATTATTAAAATTACTGAGTAATTCACTTTTTGTAAAGTTACATCACGACAATTTCTGTGGAGTGAAATTAGCAATGCAAATATGTCAAACGATTTTATTTTTTGTTGAAGCATTTACTACTATACAAAGTATACAACTAATTCGTCGCAACGAACGTAAATATCACAAAGACATAGAAATTTTTGAGGCCGTGATTTCCGATAATTTAATAAATTAAACCCAAAATTCTAAGCCTTCAAGGTAAATAGGACAAAACCAATAGTAAAAACATATACGTTTTGAGGTAACATTATTATTATCGACTCTTAAATTATGTTCAAGATGGAATTGATATGTTTAGCGCAGATTATTCCATTCCTAGAAGTATGTCCTAATTGGATTCCAAATTGTCTGAGCATGGCATTTTTCGTCGACTGTTCAGATCCATTCAAGTGCGGGATATTTTTCTCCAACAATTTCAGCGTTAGAATTGAATGAGCGGCAAAAGGGCTTTTTCAAGAAGGCATTATAAGAAAGTGTCATACATGAGACATACCAAATGCAAGTATTAAGGGATTAACAAAAAATACAAACACATTGCTGTATGCTATGCTATGTGGTCAGTTACACCACCCACAAAACGCCTGTCCACCTAGCTGAAACAATTCAAAATTGAAACTTAGAATTGTTATAATTTCTCCTCGAACACCTCCGGGATCTGCAACAAAGAAAAATTCCAATATTGACTTCAATTATAGATTTGGGGACGCATTAGTCTTGATCAACTTTATCAAATTCATCTGGCAACATTCTTAGTCACGAGAAGAAAAATCTAACATGAAAACTGTGTCCAGGTCGCACAAAGGATTCGAATAAACACGCTATTAATTGATTGACAGGGACAAAAACACATGAAATGAAAATTAAACAAAATTATGGCCGATTTCTTGATGCAGGTATATACCGAGAATAAACTATAACTAGAATAAATGTCGACGGTTACGTTGGTTACCATTGCCTCAACCAATGGAATACATTCCTAGGATATCTTATTCTGCGCAAAGGTGTCATTGTAAAACCGGCACTTAGACAAATTACCCCACGCACAAGAGTCTGACAAATAAAATAATATAATCTTAAAATGACTACAGCTTTTTTTATCTTTTAACAATACTAATAACACACAAAACTTGATGACAAACAACATTTACTCGATGAGTAAATTGTCGGTGGCTGTTCAGACGGTACAAACTTTTAACTTTAATAACAAGAAATAACTGGAGGTCTGCTTGCTTTTTCGACTTGACTGTTTCAACAACAAAAAATCGCACAACCCGTTTTAAACTTCTTGTAACGTTTTAATTAACTTGCTTCTGCACAAAATTATTATAATGAAGACAAACTACGTCTTCAACTAATCAAATGGTGTGGACATCCCGAATAAAAAAAAATAGCGTACAGAAACTTATACGTTCCCAACCGTCTCGAACCAGCCAGTCTGGTTTTACGTTGATTTCAGTATTTAACGAAACATCATTCCCAACATAAAATAGTCTCCTTTAATCTTTCAAAAACACCGTCAATCATAATCAAACTTGGTAACATCAGCTTCGAAAGAATGCGTCGCGCGTCCTCGCACTTACTTACGCAATTCTTCGAAACACCTTATCTCTTTTAACAGCAACAAGAACACGTGCACTAATTAAATCTCGCCCGATAACACAATTTTTTATCGCAGATCTGCATCTTAACCAAATTGAATAAATTACAATAGCGATAAATTACAGACAAGAAAATAATACGCAATAACAAACAAGAAAAATAGCACTGAGACACACATTCAAGTAAAATAAACCAACTATGAGCTTATTCGCAAATAATCCCCCCGATTTACATTTAATAACTTTTACTTAATACGTTTTCCTCTAATCGATTTGTTTTTAAAATAATGCACGAAGTGGATAATTCCATCCTCTAACGAATGGTGATCTAGAATAATGGATTAGAAAGAAATAAATATATCTACTTAGTGCAAATAAATATCATATCGCTCCCCTTGTACGACGTTTCGCTTCCGAGATAGCATCTATCGTGCTTATCTAACGCGTTCTAAGCAAAAGCTCCTGATTAAAAGAAAGATATTAAATAAGAGACTAAGCAAACAATAACATAAGTGTTAAGTGTTGCGGGAGTTCTACTCTATAAGCACTTACGGGGGAAAGTTTTAAGCACTTTCATATAAAAATTAATTTCTCCCATACGATCGAGGTGCCGGGGTAAATGAATTTTAGAATTGTTCGCGTTTTGGGCTATGTTTACGCTGCGAAGATAATACATACCGATATCGATAAAAATAATGAGGGGAAAACTTGGAAAATCCAAGTGGTCAAGAGGAAATATACGATTGAACGTCTCGGGCTGTAATGTTATCTTACAAATAGCCGACCTCCGATAACAATAAACGTTATAGTTCTGTTTTTATTAGAAAAATACTTTAGATATTGAACGCAAAGTTATACAGGAAGAGGTTTACACTTTGTGCATATAAAAAATTACATTGTTCGACGCTTACGTATTGACTTTGTGTAAGAAAAACGAACATATAACGCTAAGCGATTTTAACTTCATTTTTCTTCTATTCGTCACCTGAAAATCAAGAATGCTATAAATGTAGTGTTTTTCGTTCATTATACGCATTAATAACCGTAACATTCAAATATTTAGCGACCTTAAAATGCAGAGTAGTCACGATGATGGTATGTAAATGGAGATCGAGACTTTCAACATGTAAAATATGTAAAATTTAAGTAGTCTGGACGGTGCTAAATTTTTGTCTAAACAGCCGCATTTTATTTTGTTTGAGAATTTACGTGTTATAAGATAAGGAAAATTATTTGTTTCATATTTGAAGTTTATCTCATGTTTTTCTCCGGTCGTAGATAGGTTTCCGCTTATTGATATAAATTAATTCATTTTTGTAAACAGATGTTTGTCGCAGGTGCGTTTTTAGATAAGAGTATTGCGCGTATTTTAATAGCAGAAGAAGGGGGTGGTACGGACATGAAATAGAGAGGGGAGAGTTGTTAAAGAAAGAAGCAAGTGTTTTTACGAGGATTTGCTGCTCCGGGCCCTTTCGCCGAAGGCTTTCTGCCGTGTGTGTGTGTGAAATTTAGTGCTCGCGTCGCTTGCTTATCTTTAACTCATTATAATACGCAGCGATAACAAACTCTTATCGCATTGACCGGACATAAAGTTTTAAAATAGCACAGTGCAATTATTTCCCAAAGTCCCTTATCTTTTAACTGAACAATAAAATAAACAAATTACAATTACATTATTCACACAAAATTAACATCCAATAACTATAGTTATGACTTCAAATTCATCGAAATTGTGTTCTTTCTAAATTAGCGACCGGTAATTGAAATGAAACACATACAGGGTGGCCCATCATTACTATAGGTGCTGAATAGAATAAAAACGTCCGCATGGCATAGATACATAACGATTCTTCTACTGTGATTGCTGAATTTTTGTAGTACATCTGGCTCTCGTAGGAAACATGTTTCGATTATTTAAAGGTGAAATCGCATTGATATATTTATATAATTTCTAAAGTTCCCTAGAACCAATCTACTCTCACGTCTAACTACACGTTACTGGAGCAATCTATGCAGGTAAAAGAGAAAACATATTATTTGGGACACGTTGAGGGCAAGTTTATGTCAATATTAAGTTAGAACGGAATATTTACTGTACATATTTAATATACAATGCGCTTCTACAAAAAACACTATTAATTCAGAATACAAAAGTGACCCCCGTCTTTTAAGAAATCTCGACCACTTTTTCTAGTGTTCAAGCTAAAAATCCAACTAAAAAGGAAATGCGTGCGCTGGCCATTGATATGACACCGTTGATGTGCAGAATGTGATATTTCCTGAAACGATGGCATAAATTTATTAACTCGTTTACAAAATTAATATTCACATTTCAGTAGTCTTTTGTAGGGGTGTTTAGAATCTTGAATGGATAGTTAACAAAGCACGCCGGGTCTTTTAACGTATACAAGCATAAAGGGCATGTTTGTGAAACAGGTAAACATACAATGACTAATTATAGGACGAAAGAGTCCACAAGCTCCCGATTTAAAATTAATGAAGGCTAGTTGGCACACTACCCCTCGTGAAAATTATATGAGACAGTTTATCTACGGAACCGTAGTAACTATTTCGCAAGTAGAATTGCATCAAAAATAAACGAGACACTTTTTGACTTCATTATACTTTCAAGGAAGGTGCCCGAAGTGGCTTAGCGGTAAGCAAAACTACAGCGAGAACACATTAGAGTTGTAATTTGTTGCCGTTCGATATTCCGTAACATCATTAGTCGCTTAGGCCTGAAAGTACCGGAGAAGTGTGGACGCGCCGGACAAGACATTAGCGGCCCTAATTGCTTTAAGGGTAGAACTGGTGACACGGGTCCCTCTAGTCTATGCAAAAGGCTTTCGAATAACCTAGTAAATTATGAGCGATACTGGAGTGCTTTGAAACGGTCTCAGAAGAACCACGGTAGATGTTTGTACAAGAATTGGATTACCTTTTGGTATCGAAATCAACCCTTTCGAAATTGTTTAAATCTTGACCGCTTTGTCGGCGTTCAAGTTAGGACCCTCTAAACGATTTACCTCTACGTAATATACATTGCGTACTTGTGAGGGTAAACGTACCCTTTGTCGTGTTTAATTTCCTTTCTGCACAAATTCACCTTAAATTATTAAAAAAAAGACGTTCCAATCAATTTGTAAAATAATGTTGACATTTGGAATGAAAATAATTTTATGAAAAAGTAGTTCTTAGCCTATGATGGCGTTAACGTATTCCAGCCCATATGAAACTACACTTTCATATATTAGTTTAGTTTCAGTCTTAACACCTC